AGCAGGAATTGAAAGACATGAGCCAAGGGGAGAATCACACACACATCCGTGCAACACCAAATCCTAAAGCTACTTGATGGAAACCAGGGGATTAAATCAGCAAGGCCTGGCTAGGCCAGGAAAGGTGAGATTTGTTGTGGAGCATCCAAGCCGCTTAACCTCTGCGAGCCTGAATTAATGACTTTAAATTACTTTATCTCTGACACTCCTTGCGGCAGAAGGAAGAGAAAATGGCTCCATGGGGTCTCGATTCGCTCCATTTCTACTCATCAGATTATAAAGCAAGTTACAAATTCCAAACACATTCGCCAGGGGTAACTGCAAGGTTAAGAACGCTCTCCCCTTGGCTTCCCAAGGAAGCCAGAAAGAGCTTCATCTGTCTTTCGTGTTCAAGCTTTTACTTTTATTTGGGATTCTGCATGGACCTTTCCTTTGTACCTATGTGATAAACGCTGCACTGCACCCTTCCTCCAAGGAGTGGCATTTTAGCCTCCCAACCATCCACAGAGTCTACACTTAGCCAAAGCTAGTCAGCAAGCTTCCTGGTCAAGCAAGGACTTGACTTGGGTTTCCCACACCCAAACCCAATGCCATGTTCCCTTTCTATTCTTACACACTAAACTCCAGGCAGCAAGAAAAGTGGACACAGGAAGGCATCTTTAAAAAGAGAATTTTGAGCAGTTTCAACATTTGTTGACATTTTTGGTAGTTTTGATTGCACTTATTGTATTTTTAATTTTTTTTGTAATCCATCTTGAGTTTTGGCAAGAAAGGTGAAGTATATATCAAGTGTGTATAAAAAAATTAAATCAGCTGATCTATTTCAAATTGGTGATGGTGCAAATTATTCAAGGTGCTGACAATAGATGAACAGATGTTTACCCACCCAAATGTTTCTGAGAAAGACTTGTTAAGTGCCACTCTTCTGCATTTATACACAGATGGACAAGGCTGTTTTGCCTTTTCCATGTCTGAAACATTGCTGCCCTGATTAAAAAAAAACCTGGAGTGGATTTTCCTTTCCAAGGCATCAACAACAAAATTGCCAAGATAATTAAAAAATTACCTGGCCAAGACTTTTTGATGATTTGGGGGGGGGGGGGGGTTGTTTTTTGGTGTTAAGTCACAGTGACTTTTCGCAAACCCA